GAAACTGTTTGAAACATTTAGTAACAATATGTAAAACACAGGAAAAATTAAATAGGTTTCTTACTATTATGATTTTTCATGAATTTTTTTTTAAATTTTCCAAAACTTCTGTGAGGCACAGAATGACCATAAAAATGACTAATACACTGGTGTGTGCTTTCGAACAAACAAACAAACCTCCTCTGCATTTGGTCTTCCTTCATAGGTGTTTGGCATAATACAGCCAAGGATGGCAAGTTGGTCCACACAGTCCTCCAACACAGTGGAGATAAGCAGAGAATCCAACGGCTTTAACCGTGACATGGCTAAGAAAACCAAAAGAATGACAGTTATTAACTTTAATAGTGAGTTGGAAACCAGTTCAGGTAATAAGGAGGATTGAAATATTTTTCACACCTAGATGCACCACCACAGTGAGTTTAAGTATGCAGAAATACTGGGTACTCTGTATAATGCTGTTTGAGAAATTAAAACATGCTATTTTTGTGTAATATCCTATAGCAAACTCACAATCTTAATAAGAATGTACTAAATATCATGGAATAAACACTTAAACCACTTATTTCTCTAGAAATAAACACAATGTAGCATGTATACTCCTCGTACACCTGTGAATTTTTACTATGCCCATATAACATGCTCAACTGGCTGACTGATTGTAAACATTTAGTGTTTTGGTGGGAATACCTAATTCTAATAAAGGTGGCTGCTATTGTTTTAGCTCAGGCTTCAGTATAGCTGTGTGAAATTATGGTCTGGATTGTTGTATCCACAATGCATGACCTTGCGATCAAAAGAGCTCCGCTGTAAATGTTAACTGTGAGTAAAACGTAGGGTGGAGTGATGCTTGGCACCAAAAAAGAAACTGGTCATTGTATTATTACCAGTTAGAAGAAATGGAGATCGTGGAGTATGATATGGTCAGTCAGAAGAAGATTTTTAAAACTCAAAATAGAATAGAGATTAAAAAAGAGCTATGTAATGTTGCAGATGTAATCAATCTACAATCTGATAGGCTGTAATCAGTGATGGCCAAGGTAATTCAGTACACAACAGAATGTGTACTGAAAAATACCATGGAAAACATTGGCCAAGGTAATTCAGTACACAACAGAATGTGTACTGAAAAATACCATGGAAAACATTGGCCAAGGTAGTTCAGTACACAACAGAATGTGTACTGAAAAATACCATGGAAAACATTGGCCAAGGTAGTTCAGTACACAACAGAATGTGTACTGAAAAATACCATGGAAAACATTGACCCAGGTAGTTCAGTACACAACAGAATGTGTACTGAAAAATACCATGGAAAACATTGACCCAGGTAGTTCAGTACACAACACAACGTGTACTGAAAAATACCATGGAAAACATTAGCCCAGGTAGTTCAGAACCCAACACAATGTGTACTGAAAAATACCATGGAAAACATTGGCCAAGGTAGTTCAGTACACAACAGAATGTGTACTGAAAAATACCATGGAAAACATTGGCCAAGGTAGTTCAGTACACAACAGAATGTGTACTGAAAAATACCATGGAAAACATTGGCCAAGGTAGTTCAGTACACAACAGAATGTGTACTGAAAAATACCATGGAAAACATTAGCCCAGGTAATTCAGTACACAACAGAATGTGTACTGAAAAATACCATGGAAAACATTGGCCAAGGTAGTTCAGTACACAACAGAATGTGTACTGAAAAATACCATGGAAAACATTGACCCAGGTAGTTCAGTACACAACAGAA